CCGGACCGGGACCGGGAACCTGGATTTTTAAGAACCGGGACCGGACCTGAATCAACAGGTCCGGGTCAGGTCCGGTCCGGTTGAGGTCGGTTCAGGTCCGGTTTCAGGTCCGGGCCAATTTTTGTACACCCCTAGTTGTGACAATCAAAATGAGAGCTTATCTGAACCAGCTCTTTCTGGGAATTTGGTTCAGTTGGTGAATGACATAGGCCAGGTTGGGCCTAACTATGGCATAGGTGGTTGTGAATTATTAGGTGGTCTAGGTTTTCTTTGTAGTGATGGTAAAGATGAGGCCCAAAATGCTGACCAGGACAGCAACAAGGGACAGGACACTGCTGACCAGGACAGAAACAAGGGACATGCCAATGCTGACCAAGACAGCAACAACGGACATGATGATGTGTTTGAGACTACCCTAGAGGAGAAAGTTGAAGATACAAGTCCTGCGATGGAGGTTGTTATGGGTTTGGTTGGTACTTAAGGGACCAAAGTTGAAGTTCTAGATAGCTATTACAAGAGGGGGGTGAATTGTAGTATGAGTGAAGTAATGAACTTTTTGCGAAATTTAAACAATGTAAAACAATAGAGAGAAATGATTTTAAAATTTCCACTATGTAAATCAAACTCTTTTACAAGTGAATGATAAACTCGGACAAAGTCCCACAAGAACAGAACTTGTTCCCAACTCTCTCAGAAGTTTCGACTATAAAACTTCCTTCAACTCACAAGTTACAACTCTTACAATACTCCAAGATCCCAATTACTAAAAGTAATACAAGAATTAATGCACTAGAGAATATAAAAAGTATTTTGGAACTCTCTTCACGTTATTAACTAAATTGCTCAATAACGTGCCTCACTGAGTTCCAAAAGCCAACTCATATTCTTAGTACTTACATATATACTAGAATATGGATTATGTAATTGTACTTGCGTGAATGCTACTCCGCATTCTTGATTTTGTGTTCCTACTCCGGAACGATCCTTGTTGCATGAACCTTTCATTTACCAAAGACTTAAAACATACACTAGTCGAGTTTGTCAGTTTGTTCATGAAAAGCATAAGGGTCAACAAATGTATTGGGGGATGTTGGTGGAGGTGACAGAAATAATTCATCTGAATCTGAAGGCGAGAAAGAGGGCACGACCGGTAAGCGAAAGCGGGTTTTGAAACCCACTGAAGCTGGAATGTCAGAGATGTGTGCCAAGTCATCCAAGACTCGAAGGCACACCCAAATCGAGTCTCGATTGCTGTTGTTTGTACGTGCGTGGAAAGATTACAACGACCCTATTCGGTGAGGCCATTTTTACCTCCCACAATTTTATGACATAATCCATTATATTTTTTCTGTGTATCATTTTTATTTTTGACATTCATAACATGTAGCCCTGGCGAGGTGTTGATTTATTGCGACAACAAGGTAGCTAATTAGAAAGATTGTTTTGGCGTTGTTCATCCAAGATCTCGGGTAGGAGATGGTTATGTACGGATGGCCAGTGTTATGTACACGAAGCATTGGGCCAGAAAGCAATTTGTGAACAGAAGCAAGCGTATTATGCTCGACCCTAGCTTCGCCGTGAGTACCCTTGACACACTGAAATTTGTATATTTTAATATCCGAATCAAATTTAGAACTGTAATTTTACTTGGGTAATGTGTTTGTTGTAGAATCAGATTATATTGAATGAAGGGAATAATGAACACGTAGCTAAGAAGTATGGGAAGGTTTTGTTAAGTCATAAACTGTGTGACATTCGAACCGTAAGTATCTTGTGCAATTACCTCTTTGTGGTGGTGTGATTCATTATTACTGATGTGCTTTTATTGGCCCTTTGTTTCATTGCTTTGGTGTAGGTTTTCATTCCAATTGGAAGTTCCCCCTAAATCTCTAGATGATTCGCACTAGTGGTGCATAGCTCTAGACTTGAAGGGAAAAATGGTTTGAATGATAGATTCCATTTACCCCGACCCTTATACTACATACGAGAAGATATATGAGCTTCTGGTTTGTTTTATTCCTCATTACCTCATTTTAAGTTTATGTTTTAATTTTATTTACAGTTGACTAGAATTTGTAAACTTCGTTGTTTCATGGATATGGGTTCTCATGAAATTGGTGTCTTAGGTATTAATAATAATCAGATGAGGACGGTTGACGTGTTGTTTTAGCTTGAGTGATTCTACCTGGAAGTGTGGTGAGATAAAGCAGTGGACAAGGTCCACCATTGGGGTCGAGGAGCCTTCTGACTCGTGAGTATATCTGTTTTTTAGTAATCCATACTATTGGCCATTCATTATCTGTTTTTGGTTATACATGGTTAGCTAAACATGCTCCCTTATTTAACAGGGCATATTGTGGAGTTTACATGTTGGCGTGCATCAAGTTCTATGCTAGAAGATTTACAACAAAGTTTGGTGTGGTGAGTGAGTACGTTATGAGTTAATTCAATAACCCTTGGTGAAAGAGTTCTTAGTTTTGACAAGTTTGTACTATGCACTAGTTGTGTAATTATTTGATAGGCTTACTTCTTGTTGCTAACCATTTAATGCCTAATTGCGGCAGGGGAAGATTTGTCAAGCGAGGTCAAACCTTTTCTTGGATGATGTTCAATTAGAGGAGGACGAATTGAAGGACCAGCTAGAAGGTGTCCTTAAAATCATGCATTTAGGACCAATTCGTGTCCTTAAAATCATGCATTTAGTGTCCAATTCATAAAAACGTCCAAACCCGATTATTTTGGTCCATAATCCCAGTCCAATTATTGTTCTATTGGATGGGACGTGAATTATAAGCCCAAATTCGACTTAAAACGAATAAGTTATGGCCAAAATACTAAACCGAGCCTAGGTCCACCTTAGCTACGACCCAATCATTATATGGAGTCCAAATATCTTATTTAGGCCCTATATAATCATATTCCCAATCCTTAATCAGTTAGGATCCTCTAGAAACTTCTAGAAGGTTCTAATCTATCCTTCTCGAAAAGATAAAGATCGAAAAAGTTCGAGATTGAATAAAACTTCTCGTAAAATAATCCTTGTTCTATTCGAATACGAAGATGTTCAGATATCTTCTGCAAACATAATTCCATTAGAAATCAAACTCCGTATGGTTTTAATATCTTTTAGGACCAGTGCGCAACGTCAAGACCATCGCATAGCGACAGTCCTAACGTGGCGCGCCACCACCCAGCGCAGCGCGATAACCTTGTCGCGTCGCGTCAAAAGCAATTCTATTTTATTTAGAACTTCTGATCTTTTCTGATTGTCCAAACTCTCTTTTATCCCTTATAAATAGAGATCGTTTTCCCCGTTTTAAAAGTCATCAACAACCATCATAATCCTAAGCTACAACCATCATCAATAGCCATCATAATTCTCTCTCGAAGTTCTTAAACACCCATGTTCTTAGCCTTAGCCTAAATACCTCCTTGATATTCTCCTAAATCAGTCATAATACTTCATCTGCGTGATTCAAATACTCCAAACCATACTCGACGTTGCCTTCGAACTCGACGTGAAAGGTTGATAGTTCTGAGGGTTTGGTACCAAATCTATATTTCAGTTCATATTTAATTTATTTTGTTTATTGATTTAACTTTATTGAGGTTTACTAACGTGTGTATTGTTTTAATAACAAGAAGTTTGAGGCATCAAAGTGAGTAATTCAATCACCCTTATCATTATTCTTTTGATTTTGGAGTAGAGATCATGTTTAAAATGTTATTTTAATTCCTAATACCATGTTTAGGATGTTGTTATGATTTCTAGTATCATGTTTAGGATAACGCTTTAATTTTGTTATTAGTGACATGTTAGGATTTGTTATTAATCCATTTAGTATCATGCCTAGGATCTTAATACTAACGATGTTCTGATGATGTTCTTATGATGTTTTAATCCGTTTAGTATCAATCACCCTTATGCTTGACCATTCATGATTTATTGCTATTGCTTGATGACACCCCTTTTGCAGGTTAAAAGGGAATTTGTACTTGAAATCACGGATAATAAGATAATTAATAATTGGATTTAGGTTTAATATGATTTTAATTCAAGTGATCACCAATATTAGATTTGATTGTGCATTAATAATCAACCAACATAGATTAAACAGGTTTAGGCTAGGGTTAATTTGATGTAAGTATGTTGATCGAAAAGCGTGCATGAATATCAAAAGAATCAAGTAGATGCCTATTTAGGGCGGGTTTTGCTTCTCTTAGGTCAAATTCGTACCATTATCTCCGAATATCCAGTCATGGTTTCAGACCACTATGGAGCTAGCAATCTTTGTGATTGTGAGTTGGGTATAACCTCGTGAACGGTTTACAAATTCCTAAAACTTGTTGGCGACTCTTTTTCATTAGTTTATTTTCCTTGGAGCGCCGCCATGCTTAAATACATGACCCACACTTAGGGCGGGAGTGAAAAATTCCCTACAGGTATCTCTTTTGAACTTTTTCTTATACTATGCCGTTGAAATGGTATGTGCGCTAATGTAAATTGTAGAAATAGTCCAACGAGTGGTATACTATCCTAATTTATCCTACTTTATTAGTACATAATTTAGATACGATTTTCGATGTTTATATCATTGTAAATAATAGTCTAGGCCTATAATATGGCAATAATTTGGCGTGGACCATGCCTCAATTCGGCATTAGTCACAGCTGACCATTCTCCTTGTGGTCTATATTTTCCAAATTTTCCCGTTTCTCTTAAATGGTAAATCCACTTGTACTAAAATTTACCTTTTCTGTTAAATGGTACATCCATTTGTACTAAATTTTACCATTTCTCTAAATGGTACATCCATTTGTACTTAATTTATTTTACCATTTTTCTTAAATGATACATCCATTAGTATTAAATTCTACCATTTCTCTTAAATGGTACATCTAGTTGTACTGAATTTTACCATTTTCCTGAAATTTTACCATTTGTTCACTTAATATAAGTAATACTTAATCTATGAGCAAAATTAGACTGGTCACATATATCTGAAAAAAATTTAGTGGCAAGTCACATAATTAGACCGACAAGTTTAATAATACAAACATCTACTTGAATCTAATAATACTTATAATTTGGGCATAAATGATTAAATTGCTAAGCATAATCAAAGTAGAGTTTGAGATAACCAAATCCAAAATCCATAAAGGATGAAATACAACACACAAAATAGGGTAATTGTTGTTTGGAAGCTCCAGGGATGATTGATCAAAGGTCCTTTCCCATACCCCAATGATAGACTGATCCGTCAAACGCCCATCCAGAGTTCGCGTAGTAACTGTTTTCAACTGGCTCCTCGTCTGAGATGAAGGGATAATTGTTTAGTTGAACTTGCTAGAGTGGGGGTAACCTGGTTCCTGGTGGTGGCATAGCCTGCATTTTTGAAAAAAGGTTGCCTTATCTTAAATAGTCTAAACTTCACATAAGTAACTTGCAACCAGGGGCGGAGCCACGGTGGGTTCAAGTGGGTTCATTGAACCCACTGATTTTTTGAAAAAAATTAAAAACTTTTTTTTTTAAAAAAAAAAAAAATCAAAATAGGTTTAAATAGAATATTTGTGTATTATATGGCAACAAGTAAAGTTGTAGCCCAGTGGTTATTTTTACCTCTCAGCTTTCCAGCTTTCCTCTTCCTCATTCCCCCAAATTGCAAAACCCTAACTTCTTCCTCCTTCTCTTAATCTCTTCCCGTTCTTCCTCCTTGGCTCCTTCTCTTCCCGTTCTTCCTCCTTGCCTCCTTCTCTTCCCGGCGCACGGGCGCAGCACCGCAGAAGTCCGCAGAAGCCACTCAGGCACTCAGCCAGCACCGCAGCACGGCAGGTCGGCAGTAGGCCAGTAGTCACTAGTCAGCCACTCAGCTGACCACCGTAGCTCCGCCCCTGAGTGGCGCCGTGGCGGAGCAGACCCACCGTATGTAGGGGTAAGTGAATTTGGGGATTTTTTGCTAATATACATATGCTAAATTGCTAATATAGTAATATACATATACATATGCTAATACTTGAAAATTGAAATTCATATGCTAAATTGCTAATATACATATACATATGCTATTATGCTAATACTTGAAATTCATATGCTAAATTGCTAATATACATTACAAATTGCAGAATTTTTTGTAAATTGCTGAAATTTGGTTATAATTATCTTATATTTCAAGTATAAATATTCTCTTGAAAAATTGTAAGAGTGTTAAATTGGCTTGACTTTGTTAATTACCTCTGAAAAGTTGTAAGAATGTTGAATGGGCTAGACTTTGTTAATTACCTCGTAACATAAAAACATTCTCTTGAAAAGTTTCAACATATGGCCTCACCTTGCTCAATATCTTATCGTAAACATTCTAACTATTTGTTGATCAAGAATAATAAACAATCTAATTTCTACCTTCTAATTAGCTAGAGTGGTTGATGTTATTGCTTGGATTGGTATGATTTTATTTAGATGATTATAATTAGTCTTGTACCGACTAAGAATTAAACGTGATAATACAACTCCTCTACATAAGGTAGAGCTTTAGAGGTATAAGTACACTTCTATAAGAGCCAGGAGAAGTCACAGCATTAGCCCGGCTATTCTGCCTTCTAGTTTTCATAATTTCATATGCTATTTCGTTCATTCATTGATTTCCTTCTGCATTTATCATGTGTGTGCTGTGTGCAGCAGACTAGTTTTCATTATTGTATTTTTATTCCTTTGTTAATTATGATTTCAAATTTCGGAAGTTTCGAACCCACAGTTCGAAAATCCTGGTGACGCCACTGCTTGCAACAATGACTCAAGGTTACTGTATGATTGTTACGTAATTGGTAGGTTTAATTGAATACTAAACTAGATAGAACAAAAACCTGGAAGACGGCATCGACAACCATCCCGTTTGGGACATTAGACCTGTAGTTGACTCGGGGTAGCAGAGGATTTAGCCCATCAAGAGTTTATAGGTTGCTAAAGAAGGGGATCATCGGGTCACACACTAACTCCATAAAGCCAACTGCAGCACATAAACTACCACGACTCTGTTGGATTTTGGGTGTAACCCTTCCAAAAACCCCAACACAACCAGGGGTCGATAACAACTTTGTTAAAAAATGAATCATCTTCCCAGGAAAGTTTATGGGAAATTAGATCCTCTATGGGATTGGAGAAATCAGGGAGCTTTCGTTTATCCATGTCAAATTACTCCCGAAATTCCCAAATAAATTGAACAAATTACTCCCAAAAGTTGAAAGTAATTCGAACAAACTAAATTGTTGAGTCGACCAAATTACTTTCGAAAACTGAAAAAACTTCGAACAAAACTCCTTACAATTCTTTGAACTAAGAACAAACCCATAACTGTTAAATGAAGTAGTTTAAATTTCTCACTCTGATGATGAAAGAAGGTTGAACAGAGCAATAATACAAGTAGTTCTAGGGTTTTTAATTGAAAGTTGAGGAGAGAGAAAATGATTTAATTTCCTAGATGAGGAACAAGGGTACACTTTTCTAGAAGAGTGAGAGTAGATGAGGGTCAGTAGATTTCTCTAGAAAATTATGTGGGGTGGGTGGGATGTGATAAATTATGGAGGGAGTAATTTAGATATAATATCATGTATGGTTAGATGTTAAAAGAAGAAGTTTAGGATTTAATTTTGTTTTAAGTAAGGATAAAATAGGAAATGCAAATTTCAAAAGTTATCCAAAAAATTTACGTGTCATCTAATAAAAAAAATTTCAAAAAGGAATACGTGTCATGCTTCTAGTTTGGAATGGAGGAAGTATTTTTATTTTCCTCCTCAACCATATCTAAATTCATCCTCTGCGTGTATTACATCTTGTTTTGCATCTTCTACAATTTCATCTTCAATTGGATTATTATTTATGAAGGTTCAATGGTCACTCAAGAGGGGGGGTGAATTGAGTGTTAAGTAATCGTTAGCAATTTTTGCTTCTTTTCGGATTATGTGTAAGGAACCAGTTGTGCTGGTTCCCTTATGCAGCGGAATAAAACAAAGCAATAAATAACACCACAGATTTAACGAGGTTCAGCCAACTCTGGCCTACGTCCTCCTATCCTAAGTCCTTTATTAATCTACTCCGAAAATAAAGACAAAGAACACTCTACTGTTTCCCTACTCCAGGAACCAGTAAACCCCACACTCTACTCCGAATGTGCTCTAAACTTACCCTCGTAAGTTCCTAGGGTGTTTGAACTCACAAACACTCACCAAGTCTTCAACCCCTCTGTCAAAGACTTAATACAAGATCAAGAACTCTCTAATGATCTAACTCTCAAAAGTCAAATAGAGAAAAACGTTAAAACACTATTATGCTCTTGTGTATCACTTAATAATTGAATTAGTTCTTTTATCTCTCAAAAATAAAACTCTATTAAAATGTGTGAGAGTCGTCTCTCTGATTATTTTGAGTAAGATGTATTTATAGGTTAGTTGGCTAAACCCTTAAATCATGCATATAAGATATATGCGATTTTATGATAAGTATTTATCCTAATTAATTTGATCACAAGATAAAATCAATTTAGGATAAAATACTTCCTAGTTTTTAGCTAACCAAAAATATCATCTTATCTTTAACTGCTTGGATATATTTTAAATCAATATTTTTCGGAAAATATCCTTTTTATAAAATCTTTGTAAAAACGGCAGCTTGAATAATCTGTTCAGTTAACCTGGTTCCCTGACCTGGTTCCCTGAACTGAATATGTTATGAAATTTGTTCCAAGCCTTGTACCAAATTTCATAATGATATTTAATATACTAAAAGCACTTAATATACTCAATTATATAAGTTATACTACGGAGCATTTACATGAAGTTCCTAAATAACTCTTTGAGTGTAGTCTTCCTTCATGCATTCGTTAAGTCTTGAAAGCTTCCATGAATGAACTTAATTATTGACCAAAGGACCTTCCTTTAAGTTGATCGAAAATCCTTTCAAGCTTCCAATCTTAGAAATCAACTTAGATACTGCACATTCAACAACGTTAATGTACAATACTAAATAAGTAACTGCCTTTCATAAAAGCAGTTTGAGAGAACAGTTTATACTGGTTCCCTACCAGTGCATAGCTCATTTATCATCTAACTGTTCCCTATATAAAGATAAGTTAGTTCAACAAATATCTCATATAAGTAATAGCTTATCTAGGGAAACAGTGTTCTATTTTAGCTGGTTCCCCCAACTGTATTGAACACTTTCAAAGACCTGTTTCCCTTAGCTGTTTGTCATCATTCAAAACTATCAATCAAAACCTAAGGGACTCAACAAATTCCCCCTTTTTTATGATGACAAACATTTGAAGTGTCTGCACCTGTGAACATACTCAAAAGAAAGTAGTCAAAAACTTCAAGAATTCAAGACTCAATGGAACAAGTCAGTTAAGCCAACTAGTTCCCTAAACAGAAACAGAAAATAAAATAAAATAAAGTCAAAGTAAAAGTAAAAAGACTCAAAAACGACTCAATCTAAACTAGTAAAGACTCTAGGCTTCAACTTCAACTATTTTCCCCCTTTTGGCATCATTAAAAAGATATGCAAAAGTAGCATCTTATGCATAAAGTAACGTGCTAAACCATCCAATGGCATCAACCATTATACAAATAAAGTGATGCAAAAGAAGGTCAGATTAGTCAAAATAAAGCCATGCCATCAATAAAGATCATAGTTTAATACAAACCAACAAAAGTGAACAATAGAGCCCAAATCCATATCAAAACAAGTTCATGGATTGGGAGGAATAAAAATAGTCCAACAGAATCAGTTATTCAGAATATAATATAATAAAGGTAGGCTAAATGAAAAAGAAAACAGATTCAATCATCATCATCATTTTCATCATCTCCTTCCTCTTCTTCAGTGTCAGCCTCCTCAGCTGCTTCATCCTGGTTCTCCTCCTCTTCATTGTCATCTTCCTGCTGGTCTACGTGCTGGTCCTCCTCAACTTGTTCCTTCTCACTTCCAGAACTACCAGCAACCTGTTTCTCTAACTTGCTCATCCTCATAATAAACAAAGTAGATAAACCTTCCACTAAGGTCACTAACTTGCTAAGATGATCCCCTACAGCACTCATCTTCTCTTCCTGACTCTCCAGCCTCTTAAGAATAACCTTCTGACCTGCTGGTTCCTCTGCCTTCTGTTTCTTCTTGGCAGGCTTAGGTGTCTCTACTGGTTCCTCCTCCCTAAACTTCAACACCCCAGCACTTATGATCAACCTCTTTTGTTTCAGAATACCTTTGGTAAACACTATTACAGGAGCAGTTGATCCACTAAGAGAAACATTATTCTCTTTAAGAAGCTTAGTTATGTAAGAACCATAAGGAAGAGAGTGGTGGGATGAATTATAGCAATTCATCGTATGGTTTATCATTAGGGAAGAAAGATTTATCTTAATCTTTTTCATCAGCAAATATATAAGCACCATTTCCATGATGCGCACAAAACCCCTACCTTGTGCTCAAGGGATAATCATCTTGTTACACAGAGAATGAAGAACCAACATCACTGGTTCCTTCAAGCTACCAGTTTTAAAAGTTCCAGCTTTCTTTGGAACTTTCCCTCCAAACACAAAGTCATGCACTTCATCTGGACTGACCCCAATAAGTGTGGGCATCCATCTCCAGAATACTCATCAAAACCATCTCTGGGTATATTCAACAACCCAGCCAAACTTGCAACAGACACATTCACTTCAACATCATTCACAACTGAATCTAACGACCTATCCAACATTTGTTTCAAATTCACATAAAACTTTCTAACACCATCAATATTAGCATCACAGACATCAAACAAAGGCATCCAACCCTGATATTCTAACAACTCTTTCACATCACTTAAGGCAACTTCATTAAAATAACCAACTTCTGTTTTACACCCAGATAACACAATCCTAGAACCTAAATCAGTCATACCAACAGATGGAGATTCTACTGACATACCTCTTGTAGACTTCCGTGTTGTTCTCTTTCGTTTGGAACCAGCACATTCCATGACTGTTCCTCCACTACTACTTCACCAATCTTTTTCAGGGAAGACCTAGTCACTCTGCTGCGAACCAAGGGTTTGAAGTCCCCTTTTTCTGCCCAATAATCTGTAGATCCTCCTTTTCACTTCTAACTTCCTCCTCTTCCCTTTCTCCAACAGTATTGAAGAATTCTTCAGCGCTTTTGGGCTGGTCTCCCTGAGATGAGGCAGGTTCTTTGATGATGGAATCATCAGCCTCAGGGGTTTTGGGTAAAGGTGCATTTTTGGGAGGTGGAGGTGAGGGAGATTTAGAAGATGGAGACGGAGGTGGTGATGGGTTCTTTGTGGTGGTAGGAGGTGAATTGCTCGATGAAGTCGGAGCAGGGTTAGTTTCAGTGATGGAGGTCTCCTTCAATTGAGTGGACTCCCTTGCTTGAGTCTTCTCCTTTCCTTTCTTAGCTGAAGCCTTGGCTGATTTCCTTCCCATTGTAGCAAACAAGCTTCAAAATTTAGTAGGAGTTTGAGAGAGATGAAAACGGAGTGAACAGTGATTAGGGTACCACTTTTGAACGAGGGAGAGGATGAATTGAATGATGATGTGATGTGAAGCTGTATCAATGTGTTAATGTGTATTTATATCAATTGCACAGACATATGAATTCCAAGAACTAGCCGGTTGAGAATCAAAATAAACAGAAAAGATTATTTCAAAAATTGAATATTATCTTTTTTTTTTTTTTAAAAGTTCAACCAACTATAAATTAGGCAATTAAATATATTTTCCTCTTTGTAGGATAGGAATAACTGAAATAAGATAATTCTTTTCAAAAAAAATTATCTTATAGTAATCTTCCAAAAATAAAATATCTTCGGATGACATATCAGAGTTGAATTGCTGTTTCCTCTTGCTGGTACCTGTACTGAACCAGTCATTCTATTTTCAGCATGTTTCAAAATAACTTCTCCTGTTTCTATGCAACAATAATCCACTTAGGTTATTTACACAATATTTGCAAGTAAGCAACATAGTTATATACATAATCAATACAAAAGCATACTTATTCTAACCAATCATTGAAGGAAATAATTGAAGCCAACGCCTAAAATCTAACTAGACCTAAAAGGACTCTTAGCCTACAAAAAGACTTTCTACATAAAGGCTTTGTGAAGATATCAGCTATTTGATCTTCACTTTTACAAAACAACATCTCCACCAATCCTTTTTCCACATTGTCTCTTAGAAAATGGTGTCTTATCTCAATGTGTTTGGTCTTGGAGTGTTGCACGGGGTTCTTTGAAATATTGATTGCACTAGTGTTATCACAAAAGATAGGAACACTTTTATAAATAACACCAAAATCTTTCAGCTGGTTCCTTATCCACAGTAGCTGGGAACAGCATGAAGCTGCAGCTATATATTCTGACTCTGTTGTGGATAGGGCCACTGAATTTAGCTTTTTAGAACCCCATGATATAAGATAAGAGCCAAGGAAGTGTGCCATACCTGATGTGCTCTTTCTATCAACTAGGAAACCAGCATAATCTGCATCTGTATATCCAATGAGATCGATGGTACTGCCTTTGGGGTACCACAAAAACAGATCTGTTGTTCCCACAAGATACCTAAGTATCCTTCTAACAACCTTCAAGTGAGATTCCTTTGGATTGCTTTGAAACCTAGCACACAAACCAACAGAAAACACAATGTCAGATCTACTAGCTGTTAGGTAAAGTAGAGAACCAATCATTCCTCTATAAAGCGTAGCTTCAACATTTTTTCCCTTAAGATCAGCATCGAATCCAACTTTGTGGATGTGGGAACAGGTGTATCATAAGCTTTGTTGTTCTCCATGCCAAAATTTTTCAGCAGCTCTTTTAAGTAATTTTGTTGATGGATCATTATACCATCATTTGTTTGCTTAATCTGCAGCCCTAGGAAGAACCCTAGTTCTCCCATCATACTCATTTCAAATTCACTCTGCATAAGATTTGCAAATTCATCACACAAAGTTTGATTAGTAGCACCAAATAAAGTATCATCAACATAAATTTGTACTACAATCAAGTGTTTCCCCCTGGTTCTTATGAACAAGGTCTTGTCTACTGTTCCCCTCTTGTAATCATTTGCCATCAAGAAATTGGACAGTCTTTCATACCAAGCCCTTGGAGCTTGTTTCAAGCCATATAATGCTTTATCCAACTTATATACATGCTGGGGAAATAATGAATCTTCAAAACCAGGTGGCTGCTCCACATATACTTCTTCCTTCAAATATCCATTAAGGAAGGCAATCTTCACATCTATCTGAAACAGCTTAAAATTCATGTGAGCAACATAAGCAATTAAAATCCTAATAGCCTCTAGCCTAGCTACTGGTGCAAACGTCTCATCATAGTCAATTCCTTCTTGTTGATTGTACCCTTGCACCACTAGCCTTGCTTTGTTTCTGACTATAGTACCAAGGTCATCTAACTTGTTTCTAAAGACCCATCTAGTACCAATGACTGATCTTTCCTTTGGACGGGGAACCAGGTGCCAAACCTGGTTCCTCTGAAACTGATTTAACTCATCTTGCATAGCTAGTACCCAATCAGGATCAGTCAATGCCATTTTATAGTCAGTAGGCTCTACATTAGACAGGAAAGAATATAAAGCACAAAAGTTTTGAAAAACACTTCTTCTCGTTTGAATCCCCTTATTTATATCACTAATTATTTGATCAGTGGGATGAGAAGATTGATATCTATGAATTTTGAAATTAAAACTGTTTTGTGCTTCCTCATTAAGTTGGGAACCAGCATGTTCATGAATCTCTTCTTCTTCTGAAGAACCAGGAGGATTCACATTCATGCTGTTTCCTCTATCATTACTTACCTCAGGTTCAGGGGTGGTACCATCTTCTGTTCCCCCTTAACTCATTACCTGTCTATTATTTGAGGAACCATCAGGACTTGGTTCCCCTTCAGAATCCTCATTATCTCCATTTTCTTCTCTAAGCACTTCATCATTATCATCTGGTGGAGTATTTAGTAGGCCTAGATCTGCTTGCACTTCATCTGTGGGACCAGTATACTGGTTCCCCGTGAAATCCATCAATCCAATCACTTCATCAGGTTGTACCTGCGCAATCTCAGAAGACATGTTAAATTCATCAAAAATGACATGGACACTCTCCTCAACACAAAGAGTCCTTTTATTGAAGACTCTATATGCTTTGCTGTGAGAAGAGTATCCAAGAAAGATTCCCTCATCACTTCTAGGATCAAACTTATCAAGCTGGTCCTTCCCATTATTATGCACATAACATTTACATCCAAAGACACGAAAGTATGCGATGTTGGGCTTTCGACCTTTAAGAAGTTCATAGGGAGTCTTATTTAACTTTGGTCTAATGAGACCTCTATTCAATATATAGCAAGCAGTGTCAACAGCTTCACCCCAAAAACTCTTTGGGAGACCACTCTCAATGAGCATCGTCCTCGCCATCTCCTCAAGAGTTATGTTCTTCCTTTCTACAACACCATTTTGTTGAGGTGTTCTAGGGGCTGAGAAGTTGTGATTAACTCCATGTTCCCTACAATAATCAATAAATTTAGCATTATCAAATTCAGTACCATGGTCTGATCTTACCGAGACCAGCTTATGGGTGAGCTGGTTCTCCACTTATTTCACCAATGTTACCCATTCTTCAAACGTTTCATCCTTTGTGTGTAACATCATTACCCAAGTGTACCTGGAATAATCATCAACCATAACACAGACATATCTATGACCTCTTCGACTTTGTACTCTCATGGGACCACACAAGTCAATGTGTACAAGTTCGAAGGGTCTGCTGGTACTCAAAACAGTTTTAGGCTTAAAAGAGATTTTGACCTGTTTCCCCCTTACACATTCAGAACAAACTTTATCAGCTTCGTACTTAATGTTAGGAAGACCTACCACTAAGTCACGTGCTTTAAGTTTGTTTAGAAGTGTTAGGCTAGCATGTCCAAACCTCTTATGCCAAATCCATTGATTATTGTCAGAAACAGCTCTCAAACAGATGGACTTGTCTTGAGGGATTTTATCTAAGAAGGTGATGTAGACATCATGCTTCCTGGTTCCCTCACATACAAGTTCTCCTGTTTGTGAGTTAACTATGTGACATAGGTTGGCTTGAAACTCAACTCTATTACCTTTGTCATATAATTGAGAAATACTCAAGAGATTATGTTGCAAGCCTTCAACATAATAAACATCATCTATTGCGTTAGAAAGTGTCTTACCAACCTTACCTAAACCAGTGATGGTTCCCTTGCTGTTATCCCCAAAGGTGACACTTCCTCCATCAAAGGCCACTAGTGAAAGGAATTGATCTTTATCCCCGGACATGTGTCTTGAGCAACCACTGTCCAAATACCAATAGGTGTCTCCCTTCACTCTAGCCTGCAAGAGTAAATCAAACATTAGTTTTAGGAACCCAAACACACTTGGGTCCCTTTTCAACAACATTAACATCTTGTTGATCCTTTCTTCTCCGCACATACTTTACACTCTTGCTGTTCTTATAAGCACTAATTTTCTTAGCTGGACATTCATGTATCTTATGTCCATTCTTACCACATTGAAAACACACGTGCATCTCTTTAGTCATGACATACTTACCTTGCTGATATTCTTTGATCCAGGTGGTTTCTCTGGGAGACCAGTTAGTCCTGGTTCTCTGTCTAGTATAACCAAGACCAAATTTTCCTTTGTTACATCCTGATGAAGTCAGATGGTTCAAAGTTCTTTGTGCATTCAGTAGCTTATCCACATGTCTATGACTGTCATGCAATTCCCTTTCTTTTGTTTCAAGTGTCTTAACTAACAACTCGTTTTTCTCTTTCAAAAACTCAAAGTTACTTTTTAAAGTTGCAAGTTGTAAGTTAAGATCTAAAACCATAGGGTCATTAGACATTTCAATAACTACTGATTGCTTTTCACTTTTTAGTTGATTAAATTCAGCATGTAACTTACAGATAGCACTTTCATATTCATTAATCATACTGCTGACTTCAACGCTGGTTCCAGTAGGAGAACTAGGGGACCGAACAGCTTTAAGTGAAGCAATTTCTTTGTGAGAATTTTATAAGTTGAAAGCCAATGTTTCAAAGGCCTTCAACAGAGAAGTTCTATTGTAAGAATTTGCTTTACTTATGACTGTTGAAAAATCAAGAACTTCACTAGTAGTTGATAAGTCTCTGGGGAACCAGGAGATCAGATCTTCTTCACCATCACTCGGATAGTCAAGTTCAGAAGATCTTGCCCTTTCTAGTTCTACCTTGCACTTGTCCAATTCAACTTCTAGTTTTGAGCTCATATGAAAAGAAATGAAGAAAATAGGCAAAGTAGAAGTCAAAAAAGCCTTATTTGCGCCATTTTGAATGAAAATGCATCCTAAAACGTTGTAAAATGCTCTATTCATGTGATTTCAAGCCATAGACGCCTAAAAAGAGTAATAT